GAATAATGTGAGACTATCTGGGAATGAGACGATCCGGCCCCACGGGGGGACTCAGTGACTAACGATCACTCTGTTAATGGCGGGGATCTGAATAGATAAGATGCTCCAGGTGAGTTTGTCACACTGTCTGGAGTGGTTCACAACTGGGCGTGCAGACCTCCGGGCAGATTGACAGCAATCCAGGCAGACGCCCCAAGCTGCTGGTTCGTTCTGTAATTAGATTTCACCAGGCCAGTAACAAATGTGAACTCCTGGATCACTATCGCAGTCTTACCCTAGACGCACTGTCCCCTTAGACTCTCCAATCTGTCTTGCCAGCCAGACAAACTGGACTTTGTGATAAAAGGTCACTTACACCAAAAATCTCATCACATCGCTCCCAGTCCCAAGAGATCAGTCACTTACCCCAGAGCAATTGGTACCCTAGATCTTACACCAAAGACAATGCTGGTAGCCAATTCTATAGTAAATTAACTAAAGGATCATTAGCTAAGGAAAGGAAGTGAGAGTTATTGAGAGGTTAAAGCAGGTAAGATGTATGCCCAGGTGAGTCACAGTTTGTTACTCCAAAGGGTAGCAGTGATGTCATAAACTGACAGTTTCCCAAAAGTCTTTTCAGGGTACTCAGATTGTCCCTGGGGGTCACAGCTTTGTATGCGGTATTCTTCTCTGTAAGAGTCCAAACAATCCAGAGATCCAGGATCTTTCTTTGAATCCATACTTATAGCTTCTTCTCACGGAAAACAAACGGACAGGGTCACTACCCACGTTGGCTCTTTAATGACAGAGTGAGGAATGCGTTTTGAGTCTTTGACCTCCGGTCATAAAACACAACGCCCCCTTGCTTTGAAATTAGCTCTTTTCTGTTAAAGTTCATTTGCATTCCACAGGGCTTCTTCCTCGTTGGATGGGTTATTTAGTGACAGGGGTATACACAATGCAAATATTTGCTACTACATTAGAACGAGATATAGTTAAGTGAAAACAATGCAAGGAACATCCCATTACTTTTCATGAAGTTTAAACACCAAATACACTCTTAGGGCTGGTCTACACTAACCCCCCAATTCGAACTAAGATACGCAACTTCAGCTACGTGAATAACGTAGCTGAAGTCGACGTACCTTAGTTCGAACTTACCGCGGTCCAGACGCGGCAGGCAGGCTCCCCCGTCGACTCCGCGTACTCCTCTCGCCAAGCAGGAGTACTGGAGTCGACGGCGAGCACTTCTGGGTTCGATTTATCGCGTCCAGACAAGACGCGATAAATTGAACCCAGAAGTTCGATTGCTTGCCGCCGAACCAGCGGGTAAGTATAGACATACCCTTATACATTTCACAATCTCTTTAATCTATCCTAATACACGAGTGAACGGACCTTGGGCTCCGGCATGAGCTGGCACTTGGTTTGCCCGAGTCTCACAGTTGACACCACGAAACCTGGTGCAGGGTCATAGAGATGCTCTGGCTGATCCCGACCACATTTCCTACCATAGACAGACCCTTGGAGGCTGATGCTGCGGAGGCAGAGGTGGGATCTCGGGGCCTTCCACAAAGGGTCCTTGTGGGAATCAGCCCCAGAGGGGGCAGGAGGAAGGGGCAGAGGGGCTGAGTGAGGAGAGGCAGCACCTCTCTACCCCTGTGCTCTCCCTCGCCTCTTATCCCATCATCCCCAAACATTCGCTAGCCCCAGTACCCAGCTCCCAATGTTTCCCAGCTCCCCCAGCCCCAACCATTCAATCCCCAGTTTCCTCCCCATAACCCATTACCCTGGTCCCTCAATATTTGATCCCCCAGAGCCCAGCTATTTGGGGGATTTGGGGAGGGGAGGAGTTACCAGCCCCAGGGACACTCCCCCTGCAGGGAACAGCTCCAGGTCAGTGGGGGAGCCCAGCCCAGGGGCTGGTAGAAGATGGGTGATGGGGACAGGTGTGTA